TATCTTATTTAATGTACATTTCATTGTGGTCCATATTTATCCGTTAAACTAAGAATATGAACAAACTTTACGACTAGTATCAAACATAGGAACGTGTGCCATATAACATGCTATCTTATTTAGTGTACATTTCCTTGTGGTCCATATTTATCCGTTAAACTAAGAATATGAACAAACTTTACGACTAATATCGAACATAGGAACGTGTGCCATATAACATGCTATCTTATTTAGTGTACATTTCCTTGTGGTCCATATTTATCCGTTAAACTAAGAATATGAACAAACTTTACGACTAATATCTTATTTAGTGTACATTTCCTTGTGGTCCATATTTATCTGGAAAAGCACGAGCGGGAACAACCCCATAAGATGTGTACGACATTTGATAGTGGATCATTGGGGATTTAGTACTGGAACAACCTTTATAATTTTTAGATATTAAAATGGTCCGTAAGTATCTGGCAAAGGTGATGTCTAGTGTAATACCAACTTGTTCGTGTAGAATACAATTGAATAGGTACATATAGTATGACTTTGTTCGACGGCATACACTCGTGTGTTTTTTTTTCTTCTAAACAGAAGAAAAATAAAGATTTTCACCCATTTCCTCTTACATGTAAAAACAAAGCAAAAAAAAAACAAACTTAAGCACAAAATTGTTGTTCATTTTACATCAGTGTGTTCATTGTTTGAAAAATTAAGTTACATCAATGTTAATTGTTTGTGAAAAAAAAATGTTTTTGCGATATCTACTCTTCCTTCATTTAAAGATAAAACGGTTAATTGTCTAATATTCACAAATAAAATGAAATGCAGTTTCATGTACATTTTTATACATGTTTTTTTTTCTCTCTCTCTCTCTCTCTCTTTCCAGAGATTTAGATATTCTTATACAGCGAAATACAAATATTTTGACATCCAAAATTAGTAAGTTGAATTCAATACTAGATATTTATTGCATGAACTTATACATTTTATTAAAACTGTCTGTTAATAATTAATCCACAGTTTGAAAAATCTTGTCCCTTAAATTTTTTCGGAGACCATGAATTCTAATGTTTTTGTACATCTTAAAAATCGAACGTACCTACGTGACTAACCCTTGGTACAGTCACGTGATATTTATATGAACATTTTGCATGATGGGAAGGGAAGGTAGATAAAAGCGATGAAAATGGAAATTAACAATTAGCTAAACTGCCTCTGTATCTGTAGGGGTGATTGGTTTACCCCAGTTTAAGGTTAACTAAGTTCTGTTAGTGTGTCAAAATTATAAAAATCTTGTTGATATTGGATTGCGAAACGATGTGTTTTATTCATTAATATTTATAATAATGTCTAATGGTAACGATTTTCAGTTCTTAAGATCATTTAAAATGTTAAACATCGGTTGTTGTTCATGGACATTAGTAGCGATGATGTAGTGATATATGATACTGATAATTGTGATATTAGTTAAGATGGTGATAAAAACAGCAAAATGCTTTTTTTTTCTGTATCGGCTAGCCAAACCTCGCCGTTATTACCCAGTGAAGACAATGCTGAACTACAGTACGTTTCTTGGGGACCAACAGGTAGTCAACTGGTAAGTTTATTTATTTGGAATAAAAACCATTAGTAAGTGTATTTCCCTCAAACTATATAACGTCAAAAAGAGACCATAGACGAGCAGTTGGAGTTATTATTACATCCAAGGCAATAGACGGTTTTTTCTCTCTCCCTTCCATCTTCTCTTTTTAACCTTTCAATTTTGGATTTACGATGTAATTCCCTTTGTTTATGATCTCTGTATTAATAACATTTAACCAAGACTTATGTTGATACCTCGCTCTTTTACGCCTCCCCCTTGATAAAAAAAATGGTAGTTTCAGAGCTTATAACGCTAAAATTCGGAGTTAGATCTCTGCTGTGGGCAGAAGACAGACAAGTATTGTTTACTTCAAATTTTTGAGATGTATAAAAAATCCTTTATAACAAGCACCGTACTGCTTGATATTGTTTTTAATTACCATTCGGCCAGAAACTTCGAAGCGCTGTTGTTCTGGAAATCAAACACTGATTGTGCGTAAATATATAATACATAATGAAACAAAACTAGACAATGATAATACGAAACTATGGGATAGCAGATCGAATTTATTTGTATTGTGTATTTAAAACGAGAAACGTAGAATTTAGGAGTAAACCTACAAATCCTGTACAGAGTTGTTCAAAATTATATTAAAATGTGCTCAATTTTTTTTATAATTCGGCGCTAATTCTGTTAGTGGTGTACATATCACCATAGCGACCTGTGAGGTCTGTGGATCAACCGAAAGTACATTTCAGTTGTAAAGTGCACTCCTCCATATAAAACTTCAAAATGTAGATAAAAATAAGAATTCTATTTCAATGATTTTTAACTCAAAATATTTTGAAATCGATATATATCATCTTGTAACATTTGTTTTGCATGGTTTGTAATGAAAAAATAAAGTTCAAATTTCTGCTCAGCTCAGAGGAGTCTCGTACTTATTGTTTGTTAATATTTTTTTTCCTCATCTCAAAAAGTAGATTTATATTTAACTAGATGTACTTCCGCAGGGTCCCAGAAAGTGTTCTGTTTCAATAGCAAATAAAACCGAAATTAAGAATAAAAAATTATTTTTATTTCTTGCTTTTGAAGTTCATATGTCTTGCTGTGTTGTAGCCTACAAAATGCATAATTCTTCTCGTGATCGTGACATGCGCGCGTTTTACTGACGCCACAACAGTACAAATTCTTACGTTCTTTTATGTGACGTCATTTTAGTGTCTACTGACTCACTGACAGACAACACACTATTATATAGTAGTTTGAGTGGTTAAAACGGATGACAGAGTATCATCCGTAACGAACATAATTATCCATCTCTTGTTTCTCACGTGATGTATAAATAAAGAAGAAAAAGGCATACGTTTTGTTTACTGAAATTGTGCTGTAGGAACTTTGGCATGTTATGTACGCCAATGTTTTTATTATTAGAACTAGTTCTAAAATTTAACTTCTACTAATTTCTACGCTTAGCATTCTTGGCTGTTGGACTGGTAGCAATAGTTAACAATGAGCTTGTTTTTTCACTGGAGGAATGTGACCTGATAAAAGTTAACAATAACAGTGAGCTTGTTTTTTTCGCTGGAGGAATGTGACCTGACAAAAGTTGTTAACAATAGTTAACAATGAGCTTGTTTCTTGTTGTTGTTTTTTTTTGCTGAAGGAATGTGACCTGAATATGTTTTTCGCTCTGGAGGAATGTGACCTAATAAAAGTTGTTAGAAAAGAAAAAAAATAACAGCACATAGGGAAGTGGTTCTCAATCTTTAGCTTGCGGACCACCTAATATTCTCGTTTTATATCTGCGGACCACAAGATATCTAAACACAATGCCAGCACTTGCCTTCCGTGATTATTCAACCTTTCCACAGACCACTAGAAGAGAGACTGCGGACCACAGAGTGAGAGCCGCTGCTTCAGAGTATGAAATGAGGACAATGTTCTAACTTGCATACCAAAATAGGCTTAGTGTATTTCAGTTTACCTTTTTTTCCCCTATAGATCATGCTTTTTCTCACATCGGAAACTGGTAAACGAAGCAACAATAGATCTTTCAAACAGTAAAGTATTCTATAATAATTTCACGAATTAATATTGTAACGATATTGTTGTTTTTTCTTCCTGAATACGGTTTTTATTTGGTTATGAACCACATAATTGCACGTTTAGTATATAACACTTTCCTACCGTTTAGTTAATACAATTTTAATGAGATATGACATGACTTGTGCTGCTATAGTGATTTTAAGAAATGATGACATACGTTATATGATCTGTTGCCTGATATGTCTGTTTTTAAAGGTTTAACTATAAAAAAGACGCGTGTTATATGTCTGGTATGTAATTCACGCTGGTTGTTTATATATAAAAAAAATAACACTTGTTATATGGCCCATTGCGTGATATGCTGTTTCTATAAGTTTATGTATGAAATGACAGCATTTGTATGACCCAATATCTGATATATCATCTATGCTATTTTCTGTAGATTTATATATGAATCAACGACTTTTATATATCATTGTCTGATATGTCATACATGCTGTGTTTGGGTTTATGTATAAAAAAAGACATTTGCGGCATGACCCTATTTTGATTTATGATATGATGTTTGTGTCATTTTTATAGATTCATGTGTGACACATTTATTATATGATATACCATTCACGCTGTTTTCTGAACTTGTGTGTGAAATGGCAACTTTTGTGATATGGTGACATAAAAATAGAACATTTATGACGCTTGATATTCTTTATGTATTTTTGCAGGTTTATGTACGAAACAACGACATTTATTACATGGCCTACGTTGGAGACATCCCTCCAAAACGTATCACCAGGAGCGGAGTTGATCAAGCAATTTTTAACGGAATTCCCGACTGGGTGTATGAAGGTACTTTGAATCTGCACGTGATATGCTAAATTATCTTAGAGAACACTTGATACTAAAACGGAATGACTTGTTTTCCTGTAAAATACTGATTGTAAGGATTGCTTTACTTTAAAACACAGCACAACGAAAGTAAATATAGGATGATTTTTTTTATAATATTGCATTTTGTATCTGTAATAAATTTGTCATATGATAAGTGAGCAGTATGATGAAACTTGGCAACATTGCACTATACACATGAAAGGTTCAAAGGACCTTGAATGACCTGTTCAGTGAATCTTCTTTGTTATGGTATCACGTGACGTATCATTGCGCACAACAATGCAAATTATGTCCAGGAAATTCCGTACACATTCCGAATTACTGCATCCTTAAGGTCCTGTATATTATGTGGGCTACTTTTACTGCATCCTTAAGCTCCTGTATATTATGTTGGTTACTTTTACTGCATCCTTAAGGTCCTGTATATTATATGGGTTACTTTTACTGCATCCTTAAGCTCCTGTATATTATGTGGGTTACTTTTCTTGCATCCTTAAGCCCCTGTATATTATGTGGGTTACTTTTACTGCATCCTTAAGTTCTTGTATATTATATGGGTTACTTTTACTGCATTCTTAAGCTCCTGTATATTATGTGGGTTACTTTTACTGCATCCTTAAGTTCTTATATATTATATGGGTTACTTTTACTGCGTCCTTAAGCTCCTGTATATTATGTGGGTTACTTTTACTGCATCCTTAAGCTCCTGTATGTTATGTGGGTTACTTTTACTGCATCCTTAAGTTCTTATATATTATATGGGTTACTTTTACTGCATCCTTAAGCTCCTGTATATCATGTGGGTTACTTTTCTTGCATCCTTAAGCGCCTGTATATTATGTGGGCTACATTTACTGCATCCTTAAGCTCCTATATGTTATGGGGGTTACTTTAACTGCATCTTTAAGCTCCTGTATATTATGTGGGTTACTTTCAAAAAACCTCAGAAGAAAAGACACAGAGACTCGTATGGGGTGACACTGGGAACCAGGATAACCGACATTCATGGACCTCAGGGGACATGTTTAAAAGGTTTTGCAAAGAGAATCAAGCGCAACGTTTGCTACTGTTCTGCCACCTACCGCACTTGAATCTCCCAGGTGTATTGTGCAATGTTACCAAGTTTAGTGCTATTCACCTGTCAAGATAATTACAATTTGGACACGTTTTCTAATGTATGTATTCTTTTGATAAATCCATGTTTTTGCAGAAGAAATATTGGGCAATAATAACCCAATCTGGTGGTCAGAAGATGGTACGAGACTGTGTTTTGCTTCCTTTGATGATAGCTTGGTACCTGAAGTCCAGTACCCCTGGTATGGAGATTACATGGATGAAAACAACATTTATCCAGCTATAGTGAAAATCAGATATCCTAAGGTATTCATTCATTTTTGATTAAGTATCTTTCAAAAAAGCTGTTTTGTTCTCTCTAGAACTAGTGAGGGTATGAATAATGAGCGGGTAAGGTCAGTTTACGGAATGTTTCAAAACGTTGGTGCTTTCATACACGAAAAAAGAAAAAAATATCCAAAAAAGTTATTTTTGACACCATCTTCTAATTATGGATGTCAATACTGAAGTTGACTGAGCCAGAGTTATCCCAAATGCTTCTACAACCAATAATATAAAATAGTGTAATGTTAAAAACACAAACTCTGGTGTGATGTCGATAGTATCCATGATTCCTCAGCTAACACTGTTGTTTCGTTGGTATTATCATGGCTTAATTACATATACAAACGACTTTCTATAAAAAGCGTTCTGAAGCTCATTTCAAACTCCATAAACAAAGGTGGTTAGAATGCTCGACTCGCAATCTACGGGTCGTGGGTTCGAATCCTCGTCACACCAAACATGCTCGCCCTTTCAGCCGTGGGTGCGCTCTAATGTGACGGGCAATCCCACTATTCGTTGGTAAAAGAGTAGCCCAAGAGTTGGCGATGGGTGGTGATGACTAGCTGCTTTCCCTCTAGGCTTACCCTGCTAAATTAGGTACGGCTAGCGCAGATAGCCCTCGTGTAGCTTTGCGCAAAACTCATAACAAATAAACAACCTTTTCTATCGTCCAGTAGAGTAAACTAAACTTCAAGTTACTATAGAATACAACTTATAATATCAAGCAGCCTCACTTTGGTTATTCTTTATAGCCTGGTACAGAAAACCCAATAGCCACATTGTGGGTAGTTGACGTCACGTTCACGTCAAGTATCCCAGCTCCCAGGAGTCTTCGTCCACCAAAAGAAATACAAGAAAGGTAAATGGCTATCTATGCTTCATTTATGGAATATTTTTATCGCATTTCTTATGCTTGTAAGACATTGACTATAATAGCTGAGTTTTCACAATTGTTAGTTTTTTTAAGATAAGAGAGAGCAGAGCATTTTTTAACATAGTGACTGGGCGACAGAAATGTTGCCCAGTCAATAAAATTTGTCACCAAGTAAATGGAATGTTAAGATACTGGGCGACAATGATTTTTTGTAACTTTTACTGTAAAACTAATATTACTTTTACAGATATTTCAAGAACATACAAATAAATATGTTTTGATAAATAACGACTTTGTCGTCCAGTAGAATTTGCTTATGTATAATTAGATATTTCGCTTGATAATATTTTGCAAATTTTAAGCGTATTTTATCGGTTAGTGTCTTGATTTTTATTTGTTTCTCGCACAGTTTTGCGAACGTAATCTCTAACTAAGCGTGCTTAGCTTTCTGTATAAAAGAGAAAATGAGTTTTATAAAATATATTTGCGATAATTTTATTTCTTCTTAATACAAATTCTCGTAAAAATAACGTCTTAGCAAAATGTACAACCCGGGACTTAATACACTGAAATTTCATAAACTATATGTTCAATTTACTTTCAAGAACAAACATTTATATCCTATTGCATTCTGGCCTTTTTGTGATAAGCCTTGTAACCAGTTATTATGGGATAGAAGAGCTGAAAAAACTTTTTTATTTGATAAAAAAAGCGTTTATGTTGGTTTCGGTAATGTTAGTACTAACTTTAAACCTTTAACCTAATTTAAACCTAATTACTGTTTATTTTTAGCTGAAACTGAACGTAGATGTTACGTCTGCATTTGTTAAAAACTGAACACATCCCAATCAATCAACTAATTCACTTTTTTTTCAACTCTTTAGATTTTTTCTTAATTTCTTGCAACTTGTGTTAATTTTTTTCTATAGATACCATATTAATTTTTTTTTGTCTTTCTCAGTAAATATACAGTTTGTAAAGTGTTAGGGTATTAAGAGCAAAGTTGTAACGATGGTTTTTGTTGTTCAAATCAAGGCTATACTTTCATTAAGAACGAAGTTGTAACGATGTTTTGTTTAGCTCAGATCGAGGCTATACTTTCATTAAGAACAAAGTTGTAATAGCTGTTTGTTTAGTTCATATAGCAGTGATTTGTGTTAAACAAATAAACTCTAGTAACGAGTTTCATCTTTCTTGCTCCGTTAAGTCAGCTGGTTACCAAAGAGAGCGCAGTTTCCATCTTGGAGTCTCGCCAACTTCAGAATGCATGTGAAAATTTTCCGCAAACATCAGTCGTGCTTAAGTGTAGGATCGAGACATTTTTAAGGCATCTTTCAGTCACCAGAATGAAATGCTATATAGATAAAAAAAAACTTAATGTGAGTTTTATGTATTAGCTATTCGTGCTTTGTGACATAATGAATGAAAACCTGACCGTTTTTAGAATTCATTTATCCATTAAGAAATACTGCGTTCTCACACGTTTTCTGTGTAATTTAATGCCTTTGAATACATATCTCCAGCATTAACAATCCAATACTTTTAAAGTAATGTTGTAGAAGTAATAATATTAGAAGAGCTTCAGGAAAAATCGCTTATTTTCTTAACTCTAAAGACGACGAAATATATTAATACAAAAAAAATAAATAAACTATAAGTTCGTTCAATTTTCCTGACGCAGATAGCCCTCGTGTAGCTTTGTGCGAAATTCAAAACAAACCAAACCAATTTTCCTGTAACTTCATTTATAATTATGAGATTAGATTATGTTTGGCGACGAGAACAAAAATTCAAATTAACATAGTTATGAACACAAATTAACGAAATATTACTTGAAACTCGAGAACATGGGGAATTCTAAACCTGAATTATTCAGTGTTATAATAAAGCAGTGCCACATACGCCTTGTGAACGACTGTAAAGTTGACTGATAAAATTAACCAACCATCTTTGAAGTAAAACGTGTTTAATCACTCTCGTAAGTTTTATCATCCTTAGTTTTACCGAGTAATATTCCACGTGTTAACAACAACAATATTAAAAAAAAAACTAAGGTGAGTATTGCCTAGTGGTTGGCGTGGCCGGACTGTGAATCCTAGGGTTCATCCTTCACACACACCGTTGCTATCCGCATTTTGTAGCCGTGGTTGTCCTGTAGAAACGACGGTGAGACCCTATTCTTTGGTATATACCCCCAAGATATGGCGATAGATGCAGCTGGTTTTCTTCTTGTCTAGACTTTATACCAAAATTAGGGACTGCTAGCGGATACAGCCCTTGTGTAATTTTAGGGGAAATTCTAAAACAGTCAATCAATTATATTTTTTATTAGAATTTGTGAAGACTGTTGTTCAACCACCAAGCCCTGTTTGAAAGGAATGCTATGCATAAATATATTATTTTCCGAGCCTGCTGAATTGTTAAAGTTTGGTTATCCCTAAAGAAAATCAGTTTGAAATTGTGTGTGAAAGAAAGAAAAGATCTAATTTGTATGAAAACCTTCGAATTTCACCAATTAAACTGAAACAAAGTTCACCAAAAACAAGGAAGAGCCAATGATACCTGGAGGTTATATGGACATAGATCAAAAGTTAGTTCATCAGAGTGAAATGGGATGGTGATCGTTTCAAAAAGAGTAATCGTTTTATTATGAATATGTATGTATATATATATATATATATATATACGTGTGCATGTTGTACACCAGGACATATAAAACTATGGGTCATGACGTTCCTTTGGGGTCACGCAAGAGTTGAAAAATTACAGCAAATATCTTTGAAGTGTTTTTGAACTACTATTATATTCAAAAAGGGTTACTTCCGATTAAATTGTTCGCTGTCTGAGTGCCACAGTGAGTGTTTTTTTTATATCTGTGGATATATAGAATTCAACAGTTTTATGATAGAGAATTTAAAGTTATGGAATAGTTCAAAAATACACTGTCTGTACGGAACTAATATATATATATACTACACTGTAATTTTTTTTCTAGAATGGTACTTATTCCTTTTTAACTCTTGGTTACCAACAAACTGTTCTTGAATTGTTCATCCTCACGAAAAGGGGTCTCGTTCTGGAAAAGCTGGAGAACCTCTATTTTAGGAGTTAATAAACATAATTGCTTGTTGAATTTGCTGAATTGGTTTGGTCAGTTCTTTAGTGTGAGTGTTGTAACAGACAAGACATAAAATTACCCAATATCTTTAGAAGAAGATATAAAAATAAGTAGGTAATTTGAATATTTACATTTTATTGTAGACAACTAGCTATTCAGCCAGACTAGTTCCTACCTTCTAAAATAACTTGAAATAACAGTCAACGTATTCTACTGTTAAAAGTATATCTAGAACTGCCAACGCAACAGAAACAGGCGTTGCTGTAGCGTCTACGGAAAGTGTACATTCACAGAAAACGTTCAAAGGAACAGAACACATTTTTAGGACGTTAAACGATAATGTAAATTTTGTTTCATGCAGACGGTCAATGATGGTGAAAGATTTTTCAGGAAGAATTTGCAGAGAGCTTTTCGTGTTTTACCACAGTAAACCACATGTCAGGTGATTACCACGTTTTCTTTCCCTAGAGAACACTACTTCACCCAGGTTAAGTGGATTGATCGGAGCCGAATAGCCGCAGTCTGGTTACGCCGTTCTCAAAATTTCTCAGTCGTCAGTATTTGTCACGAAAGGAAAGGATGGGCATGTGAAACGGTGGGTGTTCACTAAACTTGAATCTTTTTAAAAACTTATATAGTAATGTTCAAATTTATTATAACATCTCCACGGTTATCGTATTAGCTTTACACACGAAATGTGATTGATTTGCTATAGAAATTAACTAGTAATTATAGCGACTTAATCTTATAGAAAATTATTACAATGCTAATATTTAGCGTGGCCACCTCTTGCATCAATAACAGCTTGGTGTATTTGTGACCTTGTTTCGAAGTGTTTTCCCAAAGTCTCTTGTGTAATTGGATTCTTTTTTAATTCTCTTAAAACTGTGTTCAAAGGTACATTTGATACATGGAGTCCAGCAAATACCGCATTTGTTCTATGGAGTTAAGGTATGGACTCTGTGTCGGCCAGTCCGTTTGCTAGAGATCTCCTGAGCTTTTTTTATTTGCCAATAAGCTCGACATTTCTTGGAATGCGTATTTTGGGTCATTATCGCATTGGGGCACTCCTTCTGCAACCTTGCATTGACTCTTCAGTGAATATATACATGCCACTTGGAACCAAACAGTTCAACTTTAGACTCGTCTATCCAAAGCACTTTGGGCACTCCTTCTACAACCTTGAATTGACTCTTCAGTGAATATATACATGCCACTCGGAACCAAACAGTTCAACTTTAGACTCGTCTATCCAAAGCACCTTGTGTCGCTGTTCCAAAGACAAGAATACATGTTCTTTCGCAAAAGCTAGTTTTTTGCACTATATATATTTTATGCACAGTAAAGGCTTTCTTGCTGTTAGTATTTCCTAAATGCCACATTTTTACAGCGTTCTTGAGACTGTGTTTCGAGAAACTTTATTCGTTGGGGATGGGGGGACATAGTTCGCTGAAAGAGATGTCACATATTTAAAAATCAATTCCCAGTCCAAAAACATCAGACAAGTCAGGGGATGGGGAACATAGTTCGCTGAAAGAGATGTCACATATCTAAAAATAAATTCTATCAAAATCTGAAGGAAAACTGTGAAAAACCTTAATTGTGACATTAACAAGTCACACACTGACTTGACTAATAATTTTGAACTGGGGTTCTTTCTATCTTTCCAGTGTGTATTTCACAGTACTTGGTTGACAGACGATTTAATGTGCAATAATTGTTGAACTTCAACAAGGATCATTTAAAGAGTTTACTCTGCCAAAGAGTGTTAATTCTCTGTTTTAACAACGCCACAGGACGTTGGGTTTGAAACAAAATAAATATTATTCCTTAAATTGTATAGATTGTGCGATTATTGTTACATCCCTTAAAATACTCACATGTACGGTGACGTACCTGCATTAAAAACTTAAAAGATCGACATTTTTCACATTCTTTCAATATGGTACAGATACCCAAAGCAATCATTTCTGTGATATATTGCATCTCTTCGTAATTAGATTAAACATTATGAAGAACTTTAAAAACATCTGTTGCAGTTAATCATTTGTGGCTATGTGTTCCCCTTCTCTTAAACTTTTAAATCAATCTAATGTGTAGCATATTAAAATGGATGGTTTTATCTAATAGGCACAAAAAATAAAACTACGGGAGAAATGTGATGTTTTAATGAATTGGAAAACTAATATATTTCTTTGTTGTGTTTCTGGGTGTAGTTCCAAGCTTGTGGCAACACATCTTGAATCAATGTGTAAACATTTTACTTGTTATTTTTATACTGAATCAATGTGTAGACATTTTACTTGTTATTTTTTACTGAATCAATGTGTAGACATTTTATTTGTTATTTTTATACTGAATCAATGTGTAGACATTTTACTTCTTATTTTTATACTGAATCAATGTGTAGACATTTTACTTTTATTTTATACGGAATCAATGTGTAGACATTTTACTTGTTATTTTTATACGGAATCAATGTGTAGACATTTTACTTATTTTTATACGGAATCAATGTGTAGACATTTTACTTCTTATTTTTATACTGAATCAATGTGTAGACATTTACTTCTTATTTTTATACGGAATCAATGTGTAGACATTTACTTCTTATTTTTATACTGAATCAATGTGTAGACATTTACTTCTTATTTTATACTGAATCAATGTGTAGACATTTTACTTCTTATTTTTATACTGAATCAATGTGTAGACATTTTACTTCTTATTTTTATACTGAATCAATGTGTAGACACATTACTTCTTATTTTTATACTGAATCAATGAGATAGTACGTAAATGAAACGTATCTAATACTAAAAAGTGCATCAATTGTATATAGGCGATAAAATCAGCCAATAATGGTAATTTGTATATAAATAAAAACCGAAACCGTTGCCCATAAACATTTTCAACCATGTAAACTTATCAGAATTTCATGAATAACTAAATACATATATAGAACAAAATTAAATACCATACCGTTTGAAAATATAGTACAAAGGTTATGATTTTTAAAGGAAATTGTCTGCGGTAATAGCACCCAAAAGCGTTAGGGATATTCAGTCTTCTAGAGATAAGCCACAAAAACACAAATGAATAATAAATTAGCTGTCACGGAAGATCGGTTAAGGGTTAGGTGTTGGATGCTTTAACCCACAACGTCCAAACACCTACTACCATTCACCGTCTACAGCTAGTTGTGGGTATTGTAGCCCTCACCCCCTTAAAAATAGTTTCATTATTATCATATTAGCAATTAATTTATTTTTAAGAAACACCCTTAAGTTTTACCCTTGTTAGACACAAAACTTACACCCTAATAAAACACTTCCAAAGGTAATCGCGATAGTGACCTGATAAAACAAAAAAACCGCTTCAAATTAATTACAGAAAGGACCTAATATAACACTATCCAGTATTAACACTGTATAATATCAATATAATAAGGGCCCGGCATGGCCAGGTGGCTAGGGCACTCGACTCGCAATCTGAGGGTCGCGGGTTTGAATCCCCGTCCACCAAATATGCTCGCCCTTTCAGCCGTGTGGAGCGGTATAATGTTACGGTCAATCCCACTATTCGTT